ATTTAAGCAAAGACTTGGGATTTCTTTTCTAGCATAAAGACAGTGCTTTGATTTAAGACACCAGAGAACAGCACACAGCGGGCCACCACCTGAGCAAAACCTGCATGAATGTGAGCCAGGTATACTTTCCTGAGCTCACTTCATATATCAGAAAAGGGTATCTAGACCCCCTGCTCACACTGGAGCTGTGAAATTAAATGTCTTTTTTTCTCGGAGAGAAACAGAGGATAAAAATCCCCCCAAACACACAACAGAACTCTGCTTGAAAACACTGAAAATAAATCAGCAGTGAATGGATTAGCTTCACTTCATACTGCCCGGAGCAGCCAGATCTGGAACAGCCAAGCACTCAGGGCTTGTGTTTTTTTAAATTAGCTTTAATAAATAGAATCAATAGCTCAAGTTATGAAGAAGGACAAAAGCACAGATCAAATCGATCAAGGCTGTAGCTTATCGTTATAGGCCAAGGGGTGTCCTCTCTTGTCTGAACGAGATAAGGTGGCACAAGAATCCACTTGCAGCTTTTCAGTATCTCTCCCAGAACAGCTGTACACAGATTTGGATACAGAGCCTGAAAATGCTCCTGGTTATCCAAACACAAACACAGCCACCCTTTCCTTTTTAAGAAATAATAAGGAAAAGGGAAAAAAAGGAAAAAGAAAAAAGGAAGAAAGAAAGAAAAGGGAAAAGGGAAAAGGGAAAAGGGAAAAGGGAAAAGGGAAAAGGGAAAAGGGAAAAGGGAAAAGGGAAAAGGGAAAAGGGAAAAGGGAAAAGGGAAAAGGGAAAAGGGAAAAGGGAAAAGGGAAAAGGGAAAAGGGAAAAGGGAAAAGGGAAAAGGAAAGAATCATTTGTCCTGAAGATGAATGCAGGAATTTTCAGAGATGGCAGAACCAAACAGACAGACAAGCATCAAGTATCCTACACTATATATGGGATTTAATGCTCAGGTGCAGAGATTTTTGGTCCAATCACCAGAAAAGTGTCTTTCCACATGTTAGGCCACCCAGGAGCAGAGCAGGAGTGTGCCAGCAGTGGGGTTCTCACTCTGCTCAGGGTGCCTTTGCATTTTCTTTGCTTACAGAAAGAGCTGGTCACCAGATGTGTCCCAGCAGTGTAAGGGTACAGCACACAGACATGCCCGCTACACCATACAGCACCTAAAAGGGTAGCAGAAAATAGACAACTCTACATGCCTCCTTATTCTGGGCAAAAGGGAGGTGACCCTACTTCGTTTAAGCTTGTTTTGAATAATAGTGGTCCCCTCCAATAATGAAACCTAGGAAAAGCATATTGCAGCTCCAAACAACTTTTCAAGTCTCTGCTGAACTCCTGTTCACCAGCCCTGTGTCTGTAAGGAGAGGGCTTGTACTGGTCATCACAAGGACTTCATCATGAGCTCCCCTTTCACCACAGGGGTTTGATCCCAAATACCCTGAGCACCAGCTCTGGAGCACAGGTGCTGTACAGGAAACCAATGTGCTTTAAAAACCTTTCCCCCCACTCCTTCCAATAAAACCTTCTTGTTAAAATTAAGCCAAGTACAAACTACCATCCCTGAATTTATTCAATCAAATACAGTACAATTGAGGAGGTTCTGGCACATCAAAGCACGCCCTAGAAACAATGCATGGTGTTGATAACCTCTGCTAACTCACGTTCATCCTCAGCTGGAAAAGCTGGCATCAGTTACATGGGCTTTGCACCCACATATAGCACATAAGAGTCTTTTTCAGTGTTGTGGTGAAAGCATAGATAAACAGCAAAGGAATACTAATAATCTTATAATAGACTATGTGACAGATGTACCACTGAAAGCCATTCGCATGCTCCAGTGATGAGCATGGTTCAAAGCCTATCTGGAACAGCTTTCCACCTTGTTCATAAATATTCAGAGACTTTTTTATTCTTCAAGGGCATAATACCAAACATCTGGCAGAAAATTCAGGGTAGATCCATAAGCGGGGTTTATTACATTTCAATCGGAAGTACATTTTAGAATGGTTTATAGCAAGCAGCCCCTTTGCCAGAAAACACACAACTTTCTTGGCCAAAGTACTCTGTGGTTAAGTGCAAGTCCAACAAAATAAACAAAATACCAATTATGATTCAAGTGCAGCGTAAGTTACTTTCCATTCAGTGAAGAAGAATTGGTTTTCCCAGCAGTGTCACTTACACTGTAATAATTATGGCACCTAAGGCAACTTAAGGAAATGATGGAAAAACAAATTAGATGGGCTGCAGACCATTGGCTTATCTTGACTGCTCACCTTGAAGAGGGAGGTAGGGAAACATAATATACAGTACTGCATGTCAGGGTGCTTGAAACCTCTGCTCTCCTTCCACCTCCTTGATATTTCATATTAAAATTTCAAAATGGAAATAAACATTTCCAGCAGGGATAAAGCATGAAGCAGCACAACTTGCCAGTCAAAGGACATTTGCTTAATTAAAAACAATGATAACTTGCTGTGACAGAAGATAATTACAGGGGTATAAATTGTATAAGAACTTGGCTTTGTCTAATGCTCTCATTTTATATACACATGTATTCATGACTCATACGAGAAAAATGTTCCCATGGCTCCTTGGCTTTTGTCAATTGGCAGTACTGATGACCAAGTGCTAGAGGCAATGCAGTAACAGACTATGGCACAATTTAATGGAAATCAATAGGAATTCTTCCAATGATTTCCCAACATGTATTGGACAGATCCTTTATTGCTTGCATAAGCCTGAATAATGGGATGAGAGGTTAACCAAGCAGTGATGCAATGATAATCTCTCTATGCACAGATGGAATCGTCCCGATTACAGCTTGCAACAAAAAAGTGAGTCGGCCTTACATTCTCCTCTGGTGACATCCACAATCGGCAAATGTACTATGCATTAAGTGCTGTAGGTCTTATCTAGCTGATAGAATTCACTGCAAGAGGCTTAGTTAACCACGTTTAGTTTCGCTTTAGAGCCACCATCACCACTGAACCTGAAATGTCATTGCAAAGATTCACACATACCCTTCCAGAATCATTATGTTTTCCCTTTGCTATATTTCAAAGGTCTGCATCATTACTTTACATTACTTTGATTGCAGCTTCCTTGCAGAATCCCTTAACTTTTTGCTTTGTTTCAAGTGGTAAAAGGTCTCTTCAGTTTTAAAGATTAGCTGGCCTTGCAAAAAAATGAGAGGGTGCATGAACTGGAGCTGATTACTCTGCTGAGAAAGTGTGCCACTCATTTATGCCCCTTGACCTGCTGGGCTAGATATAGTGCTTGTTATTCAGCCCTTTTGATTAACTCATTTCACTAGCCAATCCCTTTTTTTCTTTTCATTTAATGTAACACCCATATCTATTCCTGCAAATAGATGCTTCAAGGAGCAAGCATTCGCTCTCGATTTCTCTTTGGCAACGAGAAAATGAACATTTGCTCTGAGTTTGACAGTTTGCAAAGGATATTTATTTTCTAGGGCTTTGTCTGTAAGGCTGCAGTGTTTAAAAGATTATTTTATGCTGCCTTTGGCAAAAGTTGCAGTTTTTAAAAGTGCTACTGTTGTTCACAAAAACAACATTTAGTGCCCATTTATTTGAGTTAGAAAAGAGAAAGAACATGCAATGAAAGTACAGAAAGCCACAACCAACATATTGTCTGCCTTGGTGTACGCTTTTTGATTTTCCTACCTGCTTCACTTAAGTGTAATCCCCTGTAACACGCAGATGTTTCAGCTGATTATCCCTTTATCTGGCAGAAGTAGCCTCTCACATAGTGAGTATTGCTATTACAGCATTGAGATAACGGGGAACAGTTAGTGATTGGTTTGACACCATTTTTCCCAGAAAATATTTTCCATCATAACCTCTTCAATAAGATAAACGAGAGGGAAGAACATTCAGATGACCATGCAAGCCAAGCGTAACTTGGAAGCTTGCTGTCAGGCAGGTTAGTGGAAGAAGAATGGTCACTGGGTTCTGTTACAATAGCTGCTGAAATACAGATACTGATCTTGGAAAACCACTTTGCCACTGGGGGAACTCAATGCTATGAAAATTCCTACGCTGACGCTATACTTGACGGTGAAAGTGAAATTTAGACCTCCAGGAACTCAATGCTATGAAAATTCCTACGCTGATGCTATACTTGATGGTGAAAGTGAAATTTAGACCTCCATATAGTTTAGGTGCACCATTTTCCTTCTTTGGACCATTCTAACAAAACCAGTTGACATCATATTGAAGATTAAGGCTTCTGGCATTTGTGGGCTTCTATGATTGAGAGCGAACATGAATCAGTTGAGTTCAGGCTAATAAAACCCTGTGTATTTCTATGCAACATAAGCTGACACTCAAAGCTGTTGCTCGTAAAACAAGGTTACTAGCATAAGGTGCTTTACAGATGTATCTAAACTCCTTTATATGATGGACGTTATACAAATGTACTTTAGCTGGCAAGTCAGGCACTGCTAATAAAAATAGCAGCCTGCCATCCTTCCAAAGCAGCGGTTAGCAACAAGCTTTCTGTGGAATGCAGAAAATCTTCAAGGAGATGCAAGCAGGAACTTCTGAAGCACCCCTGCTTCATTCCTTATTTTAGCTGATAACCACCACTATGTGCATCTAGCCCTAAGGACACTAAACATGAATCTACACTTAGAACCAAGGCCACCTCTTGGCAGTCTGACACGGGGGGGTAGGGGAATAATAAAGTCTTTCAAAGCCTTGAACAAAGAGCTAAAGAATTTTCTTGTTTTATAGCGCTTCTGGAGTGTTTCTTCCAGACAGCATTCATACCTCTGATGGACAAACAAAATGGTAAAGCCCTAGCTGGTGCTGGTCCACAGCCCTGAAGCTACAAGGTTACTCCCATCAGACCAGGGCATCACTACATCCAAGGGCAAGCACCCCTCGATGGGCATTTCATGGAGACACATGCCTCTGTGTCCAGCCCATGTGGTGCTCTTGTAAAGCCCTGGATGGATCTGTTCCAACTTCTAGGGTGAAGTGCTCTAAAACCAACCCAGTTTTGGGGGTATGGGCCCATGCAATACACTCAAACACACTGTTATAATGCAGCCATAACACATATGGAAATGAAGGAAAGCCAAAGCAATATTGTTCGTTACAGGAATACTGGATATATATGCATATGAGTACTACATGAATACTGTAATATATATATTATTATACATATATGTGCATATATACATCTCTATTAAATAACCCTGTAGATGCATCATTCTTGTATTTATGAAAGGCTCTAGCTAAGGATGCACATACACATAGTAGTTAAACACAGGAAGGGGTTAAGACCTTCCAATTAGTGCTCCATAGGCAGCCCTACTGACCATAACAAAGCCAAGAGCTGTAGCTGAAATGCCCACAAAAATCTCCACCTCAGCTGTCCTTAAATCACTGACTGTAACAGTACTGTGGAAAGGCTGCTCTTCTAATACAGTGACAGAAATGTATACAAGAAAAGTATGAAGAAAGTGGAAAAGATGATGGTGCAGAGGTACCATGTCAGTAAAAAAAATCATTTGAAGGAAAAACTCCTGAAACTGTATATATGCATCACTTGAACATTAAAATACAGTACAGCTATGACTTTGTACTGCCTTATATAGAAGACTCAAAGCAGCAGGCCTGCATTTCATGCCACTGAGCATAAAGCCTTCCTCTGATGAGAAATATTAGAAAGGAATATTAATGTGCAAAAGATAATTTTTTTTCTTTTTGAACAAGGAAATATATTGTCATAGGAGTACAGTCTGATGAATAAGGTCCTGAAGGGGCTACAGTCCCACCTATGAGCACTGATTCGTTAGCCCATACTCTCGGGAAATCACTTGTCCTTTACAATCGATAGCTTTGCGTTTCTACAGTGGGTCAAATTACGGTTACATATTTACCAGGAATGTTGTGAAATCTGCTAACACTTATGGAAAACTTTGTTAGCCCTAAGAAAATCCCGTAATTTCCATATGGCCCACTACAACAATTAGAATTCCTGCTAATAATTTCAAATAACTTTAAACAGTTGGTTACCTGTTGCATTTGTACTTTCAGAACCCATTTTATTTTTCTTGAAAGTGGTTTCCCGTCTACCCCAACAGCACTAAGTCCTGAATCTGCAAATACGTACAGACGGGGAGTTTCACACCTGCAGTTTGTCCCACTGGAAGGCAGAGGAGCTGCTTGGGCAAGCAATTAGGATGTGTATGGATGCTTGCGGAATCAAACCGTAGATTTTCTTGTAGGGTATTCCCTCACAGGGGCCACTAGTGCTGATTTCAAAGGACTGAAGAATGAGGTCTGGGCTTCATCTGCCATGGCAACAATATACTGTAGACAGAAAATTACAGCTCCTGGGATTCGATACAGTGAGTATTTCCCCAAACCAGTAATCCCTCCTAGAGAAAGTAGTTCTGCCAGGGCATTTCTTACTTTGCTGTCATTTTCTGACACAGTCTGTATGTCTTTTATGACTCTCTACTTGCCAAAAAAAAAAAAAGAAATGCAAAAAAATCCATAGCAGCTTTGCTGGCCAAAGAAAACCTCAGGGACAAGGCAGGATTTTTAGCATCAACCTGCTGTCTTCCCATAGCAGGGCAGTTTATAGCCCCTCTTTTTATATCTTGCTTGCTCAGAAATTTCTGTATGTCTATAAATATTCCTGCTGAGAGACTGGAGTCCAAGGAAAGACTCTTCAGAATTGATCACTTCCCAGTAGCTAACAAGAAGGAAAACATGGATTTGGCTGATCTGTGCTTCTTTTTTGCACCTATGGAGAGATTTGAGATGCTAGAGATAGCAGCACAGGCAGTGCTTCCACTGCTGGAGACAGATTTGCTTTGTAACCTCTGTGAGTGGCTGTGGCTTTCACAAACAAGAGTGCTTCCCATGGAATAGGATGCCCTTTGGCGAAGGCTCATTATTCAAAAATGCTTATTGGGCTACTAAATGCAATAGACTAATATATTTATATCATGTGATGGTACAAGTAAAAAACCAAAAAGAAATCAAAAGCTTACCCTGAAGTTAGCGCTGAAATCCAAACCTCCCAAAGCCAATGGTGTTACACCAGGGATCATTTCTAAGCATGAGGCATAGCATAGAATGGAAAACCATTAAAAGGTTTTCAGAATGTGTATAAGAAAACCCTTTATAATGCTCAGCCTGCCCATGTGACAACCTTTTTCAGTACAGAAAACCTATCCTGTATAACCACATATCCCTTCTTCTCATCTCATGCTCTGGGCTTGCAGAAAAAGACAGACAGTCCCTCCCTCCATTGCACTCTCTCACACCTGAGACTTGCAGTTTTACCAGTTATAGCAACACATCACAGAATGGTTTGGGTTGGAAGAGACCTTAGAGCTCATCCAGTTCCAACCCCTGCCATGGGCAGGGGCATCTTCCTCTAGACCAGGTTGCTCCAAGCCCTATCCAGCCTGGCCTTGAACACTGCCAGGGATGGGGCAGCCACAGCTTCTCTGGGCACCCTGTGCCAGGGCCTCAGCACCCTCACAGGGAAGAATTTTTCCCTAATGTCTCATCTAAATCTTCCCTCTGTCAGGTTAAAGCCATTCTTCCTTGCCCTCCTTTTGACAGGCCCTTGTCAAAAGCCCCCCTCTGGATTTCTTGTCAGCCCCTTTTAGGTATTGGAAGACTGTTAAAAGGTCTACAATATATGTTACTGTTTTCCATTCTCATCTTCTTTGTCTGGAATCAAAGTGGTGGAGGAAGACATCAAACACACAGACACCCCATGCTCATGTACATATGCTACTCCCACTTCTTTGGGTAGGATCTGGTTTTGAGGTAAGGGTGAGGGGAGGTTGTTTTATGAGTATCCCACAGTTTTATAGTCAGCACATAAATACAGGAGAGCAGAAACTCTCCTGAGAGAACAAGTACCACTTTCTTTTCTAGTCTCCACACAACCAATCCAGTTCTTCATTGCACACTACTATTTCAAATAAAAAAAAAATATCCATCATTTGAAAGCATATTCTCTTCTTGCTCCATTCTCAAAGGAAAAAAAAAAAAGAAGAGAGGAATCAAACATTGAAAACTTGGGAGTTTTCTCCACTGCATGTTTATGCATGGAGTGGTTTTGGAAAACAACTGAAGATTCACAGATTTCTTACAAGTAAGTATTCACAAATTAATTCCGATTAACTGGCTGTATGTGGCCAAGGACTCGTATCATAAAGTACATCCCCACGAGTGCTATGGGGAAACTTCATGGGATGATTACCACAGCAATGTTCCATAGACATTCAAAAAATGGGATTTCGAGGCGAAGACACTAAATGCTGATTAATAACCACATTCTTGAGTAGATAAGAGAGCAGAGGTGAAATCTTCAGCCCACAGCTCACCCGGTGGGAATATATTTAGAATGGAGGCTGCCCTCTCTACAGGAAGCTCTGACTACATTACAGTCAAGGTTACAACATTATTTAGCTAGTCCAGGCAAAGACAGAAGCTCAGGAAACTCAATATACTTATGAAAAACAAAGGCTGGTTCATCTGAGTTCGGTTGAAGGCTGTTTTCTTACCCCCCTGCATACAACAGCAGTCTGTAAATTCTCCCCTAGCTACCCAGGAGCAAATGCATCTGAGTGGCTTGATAAGGTAATAGGAGATTAGAAGCATCCATACCTTCCAGGCTGAGTAAGCTCCCTAAACACCTATGTATATGTGGAGGAAAACAGAGCAAACAAATCACAAGCTTTCCTGATGCTAGAGCCTCAAAAATCAAGAAACTGCACCTGAGTAAAGGCAGCAATTGGGCTCCTTGTTGCAGTGTACACCAGACAATTAGAAGAAATCATTTTCTACACTCTTATTTGAAGCCCAGGCTTGACTCTGACCTATAATTTGAAATATGCTTCATTTTAATGACTTAACTTTCACTGCTAATAAGAGCAGCCCAATCAAACTACGGGCAAAGAGTGTGAAATAATTTACAGGTTTCGTCTGAAAAGGTCAAGGTCTTCAACAAAAAAAAAGTGACTTTTGCCATGGAAGTGCTTGTCCCTTGCTGTGTAAAACTAATAGACTGCTAGGAAAAATCATACCTGTCTTTTGTGCCCGAAGTATCTTGTTTACCAAACACACACATTAATTACCCATCAGCTGCTGCCAAAACCAACAGCACACGGCTGGCAGAGGTCCCCATCGCCAGCCAGTGAAAGTGAGCTTCCTTCTTTCCACTGAAGTTAATGAAGCTATGACAATTTAAATTAGCTGTGAACCTACCCCAATTATCTTTTAGCTTGCCTGCACAAGGACACCTGGGAAAGTTAAGCAGAACTAACTAAAATGCCAGCAAGTGAGAGGAGAGTGAGCATGTTGAACTTTGCATGGATTTCTTTCACTCCTCACTTGTGTGTCTAGCAGGTTTGTTTGTTTTTCTTCAGTAGATAAATTGGTTTGGCTTTGCAGAACCCCCTCCTGCATACAAACTGCTGGCAGTTACAGCAGCTATCCCCTTCAGGATGCACATTCACTTGGCATCTCTCTTCTGTGCAACCGTTCTCTCTGTTCTTGAGGCGTTCCTCCTCCACTCTCTTCTTTCACCCTTAAAGCTCTCCACATACCCAGTATTTTCAGTGGCCTGCCAGCCCGATGAGACCCCCCTGGCATCTGCAAAGGAAACCCTTGAGCTGCACAGCAGACTTTCTCCTGCTGGCTTATCAGGCAACACATTTTGTGCGTGATACTCCTCCAGAGGAATTCAATTTGGAGCTTTTAAAGACACCTTCCATTGGATATCTCTTCTCCATTACACCTCAGAAACGGTGCTGGGAAGATCAAGTATTTCAGAAGCTTTTTATTTTTCTATTTACATTTAAGAGACATGGCCTGGGTTTGGAGGAAGAGAAAAAGTTTTATTCTTCAGAACTGCAGTGCTGATACAACTTTGCTAAGGGCCAAATACAGAAAATGATTAACTCCAATTCCCAAGCTGTCATTTATAAAGCTCAGTGAGGAGCTGAAGGCATATTC